CCCCCCCGGGGACATGCCGGCGAGCTACCGGTATTGCGGCCAAAGCATAATGGCAAAGCTAAAAAATAGGGTAAAGCTTAAATTGCACGAAAGCGCTTGGAACGCGAAAGATTTAAAGGACCGACCCCGGGTGCTTAAAGGGGCACGAAAAAAGGGGAGGTTAAAAAAAGAACAATTTTTGTTGGCAATAGCACTTTTGGTAAAAAATTTACGGAAGCCTAACAAAAAAAATACCGCATTCGGCCCGTAACCCGGTAACCATTCGCTTTTGCACCGATTAACCTTTAACATATTGTTTTTTTTTTATACCTTTTTTATTTGGGAAACAAGCCCGGGTAATTACCGGAAAGGATCGAGCAAATTTGAAAAGGGCATTTGCAATTTCGTACCGTTTATAATAACGCTTAACGCTACGTCGAGCACGTTGGAAAAGGCCGTTAAGCTACCGGAATAAAATACCAAAGGAGCCCCGCAAATTTTCGACAATTTTAAAAACTTTTTCGTAAAGGAATTGCAAAAAATAAATAACGCGCTAAAAGCCCAAAGCAAACGCGCCCGTTTAATTTAAAAAATCCAAAATAAAAGGTCGAAGCATGCGCATAAAGGTTTAAACAAAAATAAAAGAAATATTTTTAAATAATGGAAAGGTTTTACGTAAAGCAAAGTTATTTTTAAGCTTTTTATGTTTAAAAAATCGGCAATTTGGCAAAATATTGCTTACTATATTAGCGATTACAAATTTATTTTCGAAAGCGAAAAAGGACGTTACGGTAAAGACCGTATAAAGGTTTAAATAACTTCCAGCACTTTCGACCATTATCGGCGGGTACAATGGACAAAATATAAGCAAATGCATTATTTAAATACCGGGGTATTGCTTATTTAAGCCGATTTTTTGCGGTAGCTTTAAGCAAGGTTAAAAAACCCCGATTTGCGGATATAGCTAGCGATTAAAAAGTTTGCGGGAAATACCGCTATTAAGCAAAGGGATTACAAATTGTTCGAAGCGTTTTAAATTTGTTGGGATTTGGTAAAAAACGATTTTCCCGAATTAATACCCAAATGGATAAGGACGACATTGCTTTTTAACCGGTTTCGCCCCGAAATTTAAAAACGGGTAATATTTAAAAGCTTTTTTTATATTATAAAAAAATTGCAAGCCAAAGCCTTTAAAGCAAAAATAATATCGGGACCGTACAAAGGGACCCCGGGGGATACAAGTATTTTAGCCTTTAAAAAGCCGGTTACCTGCTTTAAATGCGGGTAGTTAAGCCATATCGTTGCAGTATGCAAAATACGGACGGATAACCCGGAAATCCCGTTAGCCCCAGCGATTATACAAAGGGCGAAGGGGAAAAGGCCCGAAATACGGTGTTACGGGTATAAAAAATTGGGTTATATTTGGCCGGCGTGCTTTAAAAAAAGCAAAATATCGCTACCTAATTCGATATCGCTGTTTGGCCGTTTAAGCACCGGGGCTTAAGGGTGCGCCCCAACGGTTAAAACGCGCTAAAAAACCGAAATGTATTTACGGATTAACGGTTACCGGGTAAAGTTAAAAGCGTTGGTTAATAATGGGAGCGACGTTAACTTATTGCATAACCGTTTTTTGGTAAAAGCAAAAAAAATACCGGTGCTAAACGGGGGCCATTTGGCGTAGCTCGATACCAAAAAACGCATGCTTACGCTAAAGGTAAGGAAATACAAAATTTGGGTAACGGATAATTAGGAAATAACCCAAAAATTAATGGTATTTTACGTAATGGTGCCCCGGGCCGGGTACAACATTACGTTAAGCATGTTTTAATTTTAGCAAAAAGATATTAAAATTTGGTTTGGAAATATAAAGTAAAAATTTTCGGTAATTACCAAAAAAGTTAAAATAATTTCGTTGGAAATAGCTAAAAAGCTAATCCAATCGGGATAAGCGATAGTTGTACTAACGGTTGCACGCTCGAAAACCCCGGAAAACCTTAGGAAAAGGCTAAAAGCTTTCCCGGAATGGGTTAAAAAAATAATTGCAAAATATGCGCAATTTTATAAATTAAACCTTTTGTTAAAACATATAGGTTAAAATTACGCGATTAAATTAAAAAAAAAACGATGCCGTTTTACGAAAGCATTTATTTTTTATCCGAAAAGGAATTAAAAACTTTCCGGGGGTATTTCGACGAAGCCATAGCGAAGGGTTGGATCCGGCATTTAACCAGCCCCGCTAGCGCCGGAATTTTGTTCGTTTTAAAAAAGGACGGAAAGTTCCGCTTTTGTATTGATTATTAGGGTTTTAATAAGGTTATTAAGAAAAACCGGCTAATATTCCCGCTAATTTACGAAATATTTAACCGGGTATTTAAAAACTAGTACTTTACCAAATTGGATTTAAAAAACGCTTATTACAAGATACGAATTCGATAAAAAAACGAATAAAAAATTGCTTTCCGTTGCAAATATGGATATTACGAATATTTGGTAATGCCTTTTGGTTTGGCCAACGCTTTAGCAACGTTTTAAAGCTTTATTAATATAGCGCTTAAAAAATTAATTAATAGCAATTGCATCGTGTATTTAAACGATATTTTTATTTTTTCGAAAATATAGGAAAAGTACCGCGAAATAATAAAAACGGTGCTAAAACGATTTAAACGGTTTAAACTTTACGTTAGCCCGGCCAAATGCAAATTCGAAACGGATAGTATCGATTTTTTAAAATTTAGGATAATTAAATTCGGGGTCGAAATTTTGCCGGATAAAGTTATTGCAATTTTAAAATGGAAAATACCAAAAAGCGTTAAAAATATCCAAATATTTTTGGGCTTTACGGGGTATTATTGGAAATTCGTAAAGGGCTACGCGAAAATTATTATGCTTTTAACGGACCTTTTTAACAAAAATACCGTATTTTATTTAAAAAATGTTACGAAAAAGGCTTTTTGCAAATTAAAATTGCTATTTACGAAAGCTTCGGTATTAATGCATTTCGACTTTTCGAAGCCGTTGTGCGTACGGACTAACGTTTTGGTTTTTGCGATAAAGGCGGTACTATTGCAATTGCAAAACGGCCAATAGCACCCGGTAGCTTACATGTTAAAAAAATTGCGATAAAAAAAGTTGCGCTATGCAATTTTTAATTTAAAATTGTTAGCAATCGTAAAAGCTTTCGAAAAGTAACGGTATTATTTAACTTACTTACAAAAAATTGTTAAAATAATTACCGACCATTTAAACCATATTTATATTTTAACAAAGGAAAAAGTAATAAAGCGTTAAATAAAGTGGTTCGAAAATTTAGTAAAGTACGATTTTACGATTAAATGGAAGCCAAAATACCGAAACCCCGCGGATGGTTTGTTAAAACGTTTTTAAAATATACCCGTGGACGGGGAGGCCGATAGGGCAAAAAAGGAATTTTAAAACGATTTGCTGGCCAAATTCCGAAAGGGCAGCTTACGTAAGGGACGACCATTATTAAAAAGGATATTAGGACGATATTTAAGGCGTATTTTCGAAGTACAAGCAAAGGGACGATTTCGTTTTCAGCGGTATTTAAAAAAGCAAGGCTTACCGTTTAAGGAATTAGTAACGGCTTGCTTAATGTATAAAGGTAAAGTTTTAAATTCCCGAATTTAGCG